AAGATTTAAAATATGGTGATATTTTGGGTGTTTATTTGCGTCATGGGGTGAGTCAGCCTAAAGTAGTCGAAGAAAATGTTGGTCTTTTATGTGGGGTAGAAGTAGGTGGGGGTGGTAATGACCAATTTAAAGCTAGGGCAACACCTGGGAGTAATACAAATACAGAAGAACCTATTGAGCCTCCTACTGAACCAACTCACAATGTTGTTGAACCACTTATTGAGCAGCCTATTGAACCAACTTTGAATGATGCTGAACCAACTCATAATTCTTCTGAACCAACTGTAAATGTTGCTGATGGAGATGAACCACCAGACCATAATGTTAATGAAGATGTAGTGCAATCAGATGTTGAGAGCAGTGAATTAGAAGAAGATGTTCTTCCTAAAGAAGATGATTCAGATGTTGATGATGAATTGAGATCTTTAAGGGCTGAAAGGAGGAGCAAGAGGTAGGGTAAGAAGAGGAAAAAACCAATTGAAACAGATGAGATACCACTAGGAGAAGCAGGTATTGACAGAGGATTTGAGGATATTGGAAGAAATAAGACTTCAAGATATGTAGGTAAACTAGGTGGTGATGAGCAGTTTATTGATAGTTCAGAGGCTGATAGTGAAGATAGCACAGAAGAGTTAGATCCTGAAGTTATTCCTGGTGTTTATATACCAGCAAGAAGGAGGAGTAAAAAAGTCAAGTATGATCCTGATTGTGAAGTTGCTATATTTGAACTTGGGATGATTTTTGAGAATGCTATAGAGTTTCGGAAAGCATTAGCAAATTATGCAATCGAGTACAATGTGCAGATTAAATTGAGACCAAATAAACCACATAGGGTGAGGGCTAAGTGTAAATCAAAGATATGGTTGTTTCTTAAAGGGTGCTTGTAAAGGTGAGCTTCTAGTTGTTGTTGGCAAGAATAGAAATCAACAAATGTTTCCTATAGCATGGGCAGTTATGGACCAGGAGACAAAACATAGCTGGATTTTTTTCATCAACTACTTAAAAGATGATTTGCAATTGGGAACTAGAGAAGGATTGACTGTGATGGCAGATATGCAAAAGGTAAGTATTATATTCTGTTGTCTCTTAAGTAGTCTATTAAGTAATTTTGGTATTTGATAATCATTAATGTGATATGTTCAGTTGTTAAGTACTTAATTATTCTGTGGTTTTGTTAATTAATTAAGTATTATGTTATTTTGTTAAGTAACTAGCTGTTGTAGTAATTAGCTGTTAATTAGCATTCTGCTGCTGAAAGTAATTAATTATTGTAGTAATTAGTTGTTCATTAGTATTCTACTGTTGTTAAGTAACTCTGCTATTAAGTATTTTGTTGTTGTAGTAATCTGCTGCTGTAATTTGAATTAATTATTATGTAGGGATTTGTTGTAGCTTTGAATAAAGTTTTACCCAATGCTGAATTTAGGATGTGTGCCAGGCATATCTGGTCTAATTGGCATAAGAAATGGAAAGGAGAGGAAAGGAGAAAACAGTTTTGGAGGTGCTCTAAATCTAGTTATGAAGTTAAGTTTAAAGAGGAGCTTGAGAAAATGAACAAACTTGGTAAGGATATTTGTAGGGAGTTGTTATATTATCCAAAAAAAGGTCATGGGTTAGAGCTTATTTTGAAGTGCATTCCAAGTGTGATGTTGTTGAAAATAATATGTGTGAGACCTTTAATTCATGGATTTTAGCTTCTAGGCATAAATTAATTATAACTATGTTGGAGGATATTAGAAGGAAAATAATGACTAGGCAAGTGGATATGTTGAAATTTGCTGATACTTGGATATCTTATATATCACCTATGGCAAGGTTATTGTTAGAAGATAGCAAAGAGCTTGCTAGAAAATGTACTGTCCTTTGGAATGCTGATGTTGGATTTGAGATTGGAGAAGGACTGCATAAGCATGTAGTTAATCTGACTGATAAGGTTTGCACTTGTAGAGCTTGGCAGTTGAGGGGTATTCCATGTCAACATGTTGTTCTTGCATACTATCACATAAATGAAGAACCTGAACAGGCAGTGGAGCATTGGTAAGTGGGATACCTTCTTAAAAGCATACAAGTATTTCATCCAGCCTATGACAAATATGAAGATGTGGCCTAAAACCAACAATCCTAAGATAGAGCCTCCCAAACCTAAACTCATGCCTGGTAGACCTCAGAGAAACAGAAGAAAAGGCAAAGATGAACCAAAAAAGAAATATGGAAAGTTGTCTAAGTGTGGAGTGAAAATGATATGTTCCAAGTGCCATCAACAAGGACATAACAAAAGATATTGTAAGGTAAATGTTTCTTGTCAAATATTTCCTGTTGTCATCACATATTTCCTGTTGTTCATATGAATCTAGTAATCTGTTTCCATCACTGTTATGTAATATGTTGCTTAATGTTATGTAGGTTGAAAATTGGATGCCTTCATAGCAAGGTAGCCAAAGCTCACAAGGTGCTAGCCAACCTGATGTAGCTGGAAGCTCAAACCAACCTACAAACTCTGTGTGGTTTGATACAACAAGGGTTAGAAGGGTTAATGAAGCTAGAAGCTCAAGCCAACCAACACCAAGTTCAGCAGATTCAAGCAGGCTTGCTAGAAGAGGATTAGGTAGTCAACTTCCTCCAAAGGGTAAAACAACTACCAGCCAAAAGAGAGGAAGGGGTGCAAGTAAAGAAGAAGTTGAAAAAGGAGCACAAAAAAGGTCCAAAAATATTGGATTTGGCATCTACTCAGCTGCAAGTGGAACTCAAATACTAAATGTATATATTCATACATATTTCATCTATAATATGACTTAGAAATAACTTACTGATTGTGGTTCATTATTTGGCAAACTGCAGCCTAGAACGTCAAGCCAACGAGTTATTGCAAGTGGTTCAACTTATAAGAGTGCAGCTCTAACAGGAATTGACCTTGATTTTAAAGCTAGAGGCTTGAGGTGGAAGGGTCAAGATGCTGTCACAACTTCCCAGTTGCAGCAGATGAAGGCAAAGTTCAGCAAGAAGTAGTATCTTAGGAACTTATTTTTTCTATATGTTATGTAGCAACAACCTATTATATTTTGGGATCTAGTTTTTGAAAGAACTAAACATTAATGGTTGTATTCAGTCGTGTAATCTTACTTTTCTGTTTTGGATATATGTTATGTAGCAGCAACTTCAACTTTATTTTGTTTGTTTCGGCAGAATAGTTACTCTATGTTCTGAATAATTCGTCTAGCAGCAACTTCAGTCTATATGTTCTGAATTTTGAAACTGCATCTTATGGTTCTATGCCTTGTACAAAAGTTGTATATTACAGCACTTTCAAAATTCAGCAGCTGCATATTACAACAGCATTTTCAAAATTCAGAAGTTTATAACAAAATTCAGCTGTACAAAAGTTTATAGCAACAACAGCTGAATATTACAACAACGGTTTCAAAACAGAAGTTTAAAGCAACATCACCAACATTACATATTAATCAACAACACCTAAAACAACCAATAACACCTAAAACAACCAAAGTACATCAATCATACAGTTTCCAAAAAACGAACAATACAATAACAATCGTCAAAAGGATCCATCTTCTTTTTGATCGAACTTTCTCCTCTTCAAAAGCTTTGACTCTTTTTAATAAACCCCAAATTATATTTTTCGCTTGAGTAGGCATCTCATCGTCATACCAACAGAAATAATCACATCCACCCTTTTTCTACAAGTATCACAAAACACTTTTAATCAATTTTTATCAAAAACAAAATTCATAAAACAGAATTTACAAATTATGAACAAACAATTTACCTTTCCGATTTTGCAAGCAAAAAAACTACGGCCAGGGTTTAATTGGGTCCAAGAAGTATTAAACTTTGGAGAAATGCCACACTTACAGATTCGAGCGGCAACGCAAGGTGACATTGACGAGTTCGCCGATTCCGAAAAGTCCGACATTAATAAACACGGCAACAACAGAAATGAGAAGAAGAAGAAGAAGAAGAAGAGAAGAGAAGAAATTAATTGATACCAAGAAGAGAATAGAAACGAGAGAAAGAAGAGAAGAGAAGAAAAGAATTGACAAGAATAGAAGGAGAATTGCTGGAGAAATCTGAGAAGAAGAGAAGCGAACAAATAGGTTTTTTAACAATTGGGAAAGGGATTAGGGTTTAAATAATAATTGATAATCGATGTTACCGTTATGTGTCTAATTGGGAAAGGAAAAATTATTTATTGGAATCCTTCACGCACCTAAATAGGTTCGAAGTCACGCTATATGCCACCAGCAAAAAAAGTGTCTAATTGGTATGAGAATTGCCTAAGAAACGTGTATAATTGGAAAGAGGCCTAGTTTAAATGTCTAAGTGAAAGATCGTGCCAACTTTAGGTGTCTCCTTATGTATTACTCCAAATTGAGATTGATGGAAGATGGAGTCTTGTAGGGATGTGGGTGTGGATGTGTGTGAGAAGAAGGGGTTATGTCTTGAGGAGAAGAAGAAGAAGAAGAAGAAGAAGAAGAAGAAGAAGAAGAAGAAAGAGGGAGATGTTGGGTAGGGTTTGAAGAGTGAGAGAAGAATGGGGAAAGTGAGGGTGGGGCGGGTGGTTTTAGTGTTTAAGAGTATAAGAAAAGAAAATAATAAAAAAAATCTTTTTAAAACGTGACTTACCTGGGCGATAGACCTATTGAAAATCACTGTGGTCCCACCGCGGCCACGGTGAGTGAGGGGGCGCAAAACAGAATGTTCGTGTTTCACCGTGGTTGCGGTCACGAGTTTTTTTTTTTAGGATGCTAGTTTCCTACACATCTGGTACAAAAGAAAATAAAAGAAATGATGGGTTGCCTCCCATACAACGCCTGATTTAACATCGCGGCACGACTCAGATGAGCCCATTTAAGGCTCGCTCGACCTCTAAGGTTCATTCAGATGGATCTCTGACACTTCCTTTGGTTCATTCATGCCCACATATAGTGTCAATCTCTGCCCATTGACTCTAAATGTATGAGAGTCTTTCTCTGAGGCAATCTCTACGGCACCTGAAAGGAATACTTCGACCACTCGAAATGGTCCAGACCATCGTGATTGAATTTACCCGAAAATAGCCTTAATCTTGAGTTATAAAGCAATACCATGTCTCCGGGATTGAAATTTTGCTCAACAATGTTCTTGTCATGCAGCCTTTTCATTATCTCCTTATACAGCCTCGTGCTCCCGAAAGCAAGATATCGGAACTCGTTGAGCTCATGCAATTCTATGACTCTAGTTGTGCTCGCAGCCTTAATGTCCAAATTCAACTATTTCATTGCCCACCAAGCTCTATGTTCTAGTTCCACTGACAAGTGACAGGCCTTCCTGAACACCAGCTTATATGGTGACATACCAATTAGTGTTTTAAAAGCAGTTCTGTAGGCCCAGAGTGCATCATCTAGCTTTTTCGCCCAATCAGTTCTTGTGGCATTCACAGTCTTGGTCAGTACACTCTTTATCTCTCTATTCGACATTTTGACCTATCCACTGGTCTGAGGATGATACGGGGTTGCCACCTTGTGGCGTACAACGTACTTTGCTAACAATTTCTTGAAGGCTCAATTGCAAAAGTGAGTGCATCCATCGCTGATAATAGCTCTCGGGGTCCCGAAACGGGTGAATATATTCTTCTTCAAAAACCCCGCCACCACTCTTGCATCATTGGTGGAAAGTGCTGCAGCTTTCACCCATTTGGACACATAATCGACAGCAACAAGTATGTACTTATTGTCAAAGGAGCTGACAAAGGGGCCCATGAAGTCTATCCCCCAGACATCGAACACTTCAACCTCTTGAATTTGGTTCATGGGCATCTCATGGCGACGGGAAATGTTCCTGGTTTGCTGACATTCATTATAGCCCTTCACCAATTTATGGGCATCTTTAAACATTGTTGGCCAGTAGAACCCGGCTTCTAGCACTTTCGCTGCCATCCTGACTCCTCCAAAATGCCCGCCATACGTCGATACGTGACATGCTTGCAAAACAAAAGATTGTTCTATCTCGGGGACACACCTCCAGATCATATTGTCAACACATAGTCGAAATAGATAAGGTTCATCCCAGTAGTACATGCGGCGGTCACGATAAAACATTTTCTTTTGCATAGAGGAAAGGTCATAGGGAACTATACCGCTTGCCAGGTAATTTGCAAAGTCTGCATACCATGGCACTTCCTCAAGGCTTGTAGCTAGTAGCTGCTCGTCTGGAAAGGTTTCCAGAATGTCCTCTACCTTAACTGAGTTTTCAGCTCCTTCAAGTCGTGATAGATGATCAGCGACTTGATTTTCTATACCCTTATGGTCACGAATCTCCAGGTCGGACTCTTATAGTAACAGCACCCAACGAATCAGGTGCGGTTTGGACTCCTTCTTCTCAATCAAGTACCTGAGAGCTTCATGATCAGTATATACAATTACCTTAGAGCCAATCAGGTATGATCTGAACTTGTCGAATGCAAACACCACAGCCAGCATCTCTTTTTCAGTCACAGTGTAGTTCAGCTGGGCTCCACTCAACGTTCTACTAGCATAGTAAATTGGGTGCATTAGCTTGTCTTTCTGCTATCCCAGCACTGCCCCCACTGCATAGTCATTAGCGTCACACATGAGTTCGAATGGTTGTTCCCAATCGGGGGCAACAATGATGGGTGATGTGACTAGCTTCTTTTTCAACTCCTCGAATGCTACCCTGCAATCATCAAAAAATAATAAAGGGTGATCTTTTTCTAACAACTTACAAAGAGAGTTGGTAATTTTTGAGAAATCGTTTATGAATCTCCGGTAGAAACTGGCATGCCCGAGGAAGCTCTTAATTGCCTTGACTGAAGTGGGGGTGGGCAGTTGATCGCTGCCGACTCGACACTACGCTATGGTACGAAGAGCGGATCGCAATAGCTTTTACCTAAATAGAGGTCCGGGATCGAATTTCCATAGGGAGCTAGTAGTGGAGTTGTATTTTCTGTCTAGCCTAGAGTTGCGGTTGTGCTTCTAATGTAACTTCAAACATTTTTTGAGTTTTTGTATTTATAACTACTATTATAAAACTAAGGATTAAAGCTAAAGTGTGCTAAGATAATATTGCTAAGTTGTAATTAATGGGTAGAAGAGCACTAGGGTCGTAGCATCACCTAGGTGGCTAATTGACGGGTAGATGCTACTAAGGATAGATTGACATATTTGGGGATTATGTTGTACCCGTTGCACAATTGCACCCACTCTCACACCTCTCGGTAGAGAGAGTGATTTTGCCCAATTGACTCTCTCGAGATCAATTGGGTAGGCCAATGAGACCAAGCAACTAGGGTTCAAGTAGGGTGATTACTCACTCGAGATTTAACCCGTTAATTGGGACTACCATTTCTCATGGGTCCATCTCAATTTCTTGTTAGGTCAATTTTGGGGTCATAAACTCTCTCTTTCGAGAAGAGTTAAACCCACTAAGCTTGAATCAGTGTTTGCAACCATCAATTCTTGAATAAAAACATAAAATCAACCCAAATAGCAAAAACCCAGTATCAATCCAACCCTAGATGGCAACACCCATCAATTACCCATACTAGGGTTGAGCCACAACCCTAGCTAATAGGTTTAGCTACATATAATTAAAGAAGACACTGAAGAAATAGATGAAGAACTAAACATATTAATTAATTACTAAGAAGAAACTACAATAATATTGTTAATGGGAAGCAAAAATGCCAAAAACATGGCTACGATATCGGTCTCACGAGCTTAGCTGCGTTTCTGAATACCAAACTTAACCTAAAAATGGTAAAATTTCCTATTTATAGTGGGCTGGAAAAACTTAACAAAAATACCCCTGCGGGGTCAGTGCGGGCCACACAAAAGCAACTGCGGCCGCACTGGCTCTTTTGACTTCAACTTTAAGTTCTCTGAACTAGAAGACGCAGACCGCGTGAAAGTGCAGCGCGGCCGCGTAGAGGGTTTGGTGCGGTCGGCACAAACAGGACGCGGACCGCGTGGCATGGTTTTGGTCCGCGTGGCATGGTTTTGGTCCCTTGCCCAACTCTCTGAACCTTACGAACGCGGACCGCACAAAGCAAGAGTGTGGCCGTGAAGCTTCACCGCGGACCGCGAAAATCCTACCGCGGCTGCGTGACTTTAATCCTGAATATGTCATATCTCTGAACCTCCTAGTGCGGTCGCGGTCACTGTTGTGCGGTCCGCACTAGGCCATTTCTTCTTCAATTCTCTAAGTCTTTGATACTTGAGCAGGTTTCACTCCTTTTTGAGCCGATCTTTGACATTTCGTTACTTTGTCGATCAAACCTGCAATCAAGCACAACTTGTGAGCATTTTGGGACTATTTTGTAGGAATTTATATTCAAAGCGTAGGCAAGTAGAGGCATAAACACGTTAAAATCCTAACTTATCAACAGCTTTTCTATCACGTCAACTTTAGCACGATCCACCTCGATTCCCTTGCTTGATACCCAGTGTCCCAAAACTATTTCCTCTTGTACCATGAAATGGCACTTCTCCCAATTAAGTACCAGGTTAGTCTCAATCCATCTTTTCAACACTTGGGTCAGATTTATAAGGCACTCGTCGAATGAGTTTCCCACCACTGAGAAATCATCAATGAACATCTCCATTATGTCTTCGACCATGTCAGTGAATATGGCCATCATGCACCTTTGGAATGTGGTGGGTGCATTGCATAGGCCAAAGGGCATCCTCCTAAATGCATAAATTCCATATGGGCATGTGAAGGAGGTCTTCTCTCTGTCTTCTGGTGCAATGGAGATTTGATTGTACCCTGAGTATCCATCCAGAAAACAGAAGTGGGACCTCCCTGCCAATCTGTCAAGCATCTGATCAATGAAGGGAAATGGGAAGTGGTCTTTCCGGGTGGCCAGATTTAATTTCCTGTAGTCCATACAAATTCTCCAGCCTGTGATGATTCTTGTAGAGATCAGCTCATTGTTATCATTTTTTACCACCGTCATACCACCCTTCTTAGGAACACATTGCACCGGGCTAACCTAGTTGCTGTCAGAGATGGGGAAAATGATTCCCGCATCCAACCACTTAATCACCTCTTTCTTCACCACTTCCTTCATGTTGGGGTTCAACCTTTTTTGGTGCTCCCTGGAAGGTTTGTGCCCCTCTTCCAGCAGAATTTTATGCATGCAATATGCCGGACTGATCCCCTTAATGTCTGCCATGGTCCACCCAGTGGCAGTCTTGCACTTCTTGAGTACCTGCAAAAATTTGTTGTGTTTGCATATCTAACAAACTAGATAAGATAATAACAGGTAATGTGGAGTTAGGTCCAAGGAACTCATACCTGAGATGGGCGGGCAGTGGCTTTAACTCCAGCTTTGGTGGTTCTTCTATGGATGGCTTGGCTGGAGGAGTTTCTCTGTTTTATAAGTGCATGGGCTCGAATTCAAGTGTTCTATCCCAAAACCCTCTACCCTCTAAAGTCAACACCCATTCTGCCAATTCTTCCACATTCACCTCATCTAAATTTACCAGACATACAGCAAGAGGGTCCTCAATAGTCAACTTCTCATCATCTGCTTCTACGATTACATCCACGGCATCAATAAGAGAACAATTGGCGAATTCACTTGGTCACCTCATAGATATTTGCACATTGAATGTTATCTCCTTATCGTTCAACCTCATCTTGAGCTCCCCAGTTTCATAATCAATGAGAGCTCTCCCTGTGGCCAAGAACGGCCTTTCCAAAATTATGGGAATTTCTTCCTCCACCTTTCAATCTAGAATCACAAAATCTGCAAGGAACACAAATTTTCTACCTGAATCAACACATCATCCAAGATACTAGAGGGTATTTTCACGGTTCTGTCAGCCAGCTGCAATAACAGAGAAGTGGGTCTAGCTCTTCCAATCCCCAACCTCTTATAGATCGCCAGGGGCATAAGATTTATGCTAGCCCCCAAATCACCAAGTGTCTTGGCAAAAGCAAAGTTACCAATGGTGCAGGGAATTGTGAAACTCCCTGGGTCAGACAACTTCTCAGCAACTGATCTAGTCACCACAGCATTGCAGGTCTGAGTTAGAGTCACTGTGGCCAAGTCTTGAAAATTGAATTTTTGGGACATCAAGTCCTTCATAATTTTTTCATAACCAGGCATCTCTTTCAATGCATCAATCAATGGAATATTTACATGTATTTGTTTCAGCATCTCCAAGAATTTCTTGTATTGCTCCTCTTTCTGGTAATTGGCCAGCCTCTGTGGGAATGCTGCTAGAGGTCTCTTCTTCCCAATGATATGGGTATTCTCTTTGTCAAATACTACCTCAACTACCGGTTCCTGGGCTGTCTCAGGCTACTCTCAGCTTCTTTATCAGCCTCAATCTGTCTTTTGATTTCTTCATGGGCAGGTTGTACTATCACCTTTGCCAGTTTCGTTGAATCATCTAGCTCAATGGGCACTGGTACAAGTGTATCAATCTGTCTGCTCTCTCGAGCCCTCTCTTTCTCCAAGTCTAAGTCTCTGCCATTACGTAGACTCACTGCCATCAACTGCTTCGGGCCTTGATCTTTTGGATTTATCTGAGTGTCTGCAGGCAATGTCCCATGAGGACGATTATTAAAAGACATCGAAATATGGCCCATCTGCACTTCAATATTCTTTATAGCCGACTCATGTGCATCTACCCTTTCACTCATTTTCGCATTTGACCCAATAACCTGCTGCATCATTGCCTCGAGTCTGGCAAACCCATCTTCTTGTCTTCCCCCATGCTGTTGCTGAGGAGGATGATAACCCTGTTGTTGATTTTGATTGTTGTATCTATGTGGCCTTTGGTAAGGCGCCATATTATTGTGAGGTCTCATACCTCTCATATTTCCATTGTTGAGTTGTGGTTGGACTGGCCTGTATGGTTGATTCTGTAGGCCCCAATTCTAACTACCCTGTCTCTGGACTCCATAATTAGACACATAATTCATGTCTTTAGGGTAATGATGATGATCATTTTCTGCATTCCATTGATTACCAATTGGCTGAGTAATGCAAGATGTGTATAAGCTCCCATTGGTAGTATCTATAATGTGCACCTGTTGCTTCTGCCCTGACTCTTCCACCTTTTTGGTGAGTATACTCATTTGTGTCATTAAGGTGGACATGTTTTCAGCAAGAGTGTTAGACGGATCTAAGGGTACTAAGTGAACTACTGTAGTGATAGGTGCATTCCTGGTTGTCCACCCCGAATTCTGTGCTATCTTGTCAAGAAAGCTCTGGCTTTCTCTCCATGTTTTGCTCAAGAATGCTCTACTAGCTGAAGCATCAACATTAGCCTTCACGCTATCTGTCAACTCCATAAAAAACCGTTTCCCCAACATCAAATCTGAAATACCGTGGTGCGGACATATAACCAATATCCCTTTGAGTCGTTCCCACGTTTCTTGCAGTGTCTCCATTGATTTTTGTTTGAAGCTAAAATTTCATCAATTTGCTAAGCAGTCTTGTTGGGTGGATGAAACTTATTCACGAATTGCTTGACTAACTCCTCCCAAGTCATGATGGAATTAATGGGGAGTGAGTTTAGCCAAGTTTGGGCAGCTCCTGTCACTGAGAATGGAAACAACAACAACTTTATTGCTTCCTGAGTTACGTTTGGATGCCTTTGAGTTTTGCAGATTGACAGGAAATTCTTCAAGTGCTGTTGCGGATCCTCAATGTATGACCCCGAAAATAGTCCCTTATTTTGCAATAAGTACAGCATGTTGTTCGTAATTTGAAATGACTCGGCATGTATCTGCGGGACTAATATCGCTTTGGCCAAATTCTCTGTTGTGGGTTGTGACCAGTCATAAATAGCAGTCTCTGGCACAAGAGGTGCTACTGGCGCTACCGGCGCAGTTGGGTCAAACACGTTATCCCCCATGTCTGGTTCGAGTTGTTCAGTTGATTATTGTTGTTTGTTTTTCCGGTTGGCCCGATTCAATGCCTTGAAAACTTTCTCAGGATCTGATAATGCTTCAAATACTTCAGTTCTCGATGAGTTTCTAGGCATGCACCTGTACAACCAAGTCAACAAACGTTAAAATTTCAATGTCTAGATTGAAAATAAAGAAGACTGACTACACTAAGAATTTTTGTATTTCTTTCAACTGTAATTGATAACACCGTTAGTTCCCCGTCAACGGTGCCAAAATTTGATCACGCCCAACTATGCCTTATAAAAAGGACAAAGCGGTCGCCGTAAATATCTGAGCATTTAGCCTAGTTTCGAATCTACAGGGAATTAACCTATCAATTACTCTTGCTAGACTCACTAAATTCTACGTAATTAACTTCCCGAATATTTTGAATAAGAATTGATGATATCTTACTAACTATAACTGAACGAAATTAAGTAAATTAAAAACTAACTATGATTGAGTTGTAAACAATTAAGAGAAGGATCTAAGGTTGTTCCCCTATTGATGGAATCCCTTCCTGTTATGTTTCATACAGATTTGCATAATCATCTTTATCGATCATGAGCACTCTTACTACCGTAAATCTCTTCTGAGTAATTACGGCAATTTACTGGACATACTATCCTGAGTTACGCTAGCTGGCTCTAGTTACAACTCACTTAGATCGCACCCAAGGCTTCGCTATCCCTAATCCCGCCTTTAAACCCTTGGTTATTGATTCCTCATATACTTTGGGAGTGGTGTTGTTCAACAATTACCTAAATATGCACTCTCTCCCGAGTAATACATACTAAATAGGCACCGCTAATTGAGGATCCTATCAATTAACTACAACAAGAACGTAGTTGAACAAATAGATATTGAACCGGTCAAACTATATAAATAGAATAAGAAGTTCATCCTCAACAGGTTCCATCAAAACCCTAGACTAAGTAATTAGCTACTCATAGCAAAGCAAGATAAAACCACAGAAGTATTCATAATGTGCAAATAAAGATAACAAAGAGAAGATTGAAAAACTCTAATGGTTGATTGCTCTTCTCACACTTGTTCTTGCCTCCAATTCAGTCTATAAACAAGCTTAATCTTTACTTGGGCGAGTTTGTTGAGTTTATAAAGGGTTAGGATAAGTTTCCTCCAATTTACATTTTAGTCCCAAAATTTCTGGGCGATTACACAGTCGATCGTGGCTGCGGCAGAATGCGATGCGACTCCGGTGAAATGCAACTATCCTACCTCAATCGTTTGGCCTACCGCGTTCCAGTCGCGATCGACCGCGGTCACGGTGGCCTCTTGTCCAGTCCTCCTTTGCCTCTTTCTTGCTTATTTTCGTTTGGGTTCTTCTTGATTGGCCTTATATCTACATTATTTACTCCAAAACACTCCATAGTCTCTTCCTAACTTGGATTAGTTCCTGCAAAGCGAAAGACCACCAATTAGAGTATTTTGTTATCGTTTTGCCTTTAAAACAACAATAAAGTATGGTACATTTAGAGTGTAAATAGTGTCTATATAGCCGACTATCAGTATGTATATATTATAGGATCAAACTCATTCTGAACTCACTGACGCTAGATTCTAAATTCTCTTCTGGCACGTGATGATTAAGTCAAGAAATTATAATGTTACCTAACCAAAAAGTTAATGGACTAAATCAGATGCTACCCAATAACAGGTTGTACAAACATGGCTTTAGAAATACTGGATTCTTGACATTATGGATGTATATAGGTCGGGTTGATTTGGGTTTTTCAATTATCAAACCAAACCAATTGTATCAGGTTTTTAAATCTATAAACGAAACCAAACCAAACCAAAAAAAATTGAATTTTTAAATCTTGGTTTTTTTCTGTTTTCTTGGGTTTTTCGGATTTTTTTCCCGGTAAAATCGTCATAGCAAAACATATAACTTGTGCTCCAAAAATTTATTTGGTAGTTGGTACTAGTTGGATACAATTATATAAGGTGTTACTCAAGAAAATAACACAAACTAATGTGAGATGAGTCAAGGCATTATACTAAGATATTCAACAATAAAGATAATAAAATTGCATAAAAATAAATATTGTTAATTAATAAGCCACAATGAAAATGAATATAATCTAAAAGTACTAAGTCTTGATAAAATAAGTACGATTATTAAGTACTAAGTATTAATTATATGACTAGACAATAACAAAAAGTTATGTATTTTCACTGTCTTAAACCAATGAAAAACTAATAAAGTCAGACATCTCTATAACAACATCCTTATATAACAATCATTCACAAAAAAACCAAGTTGTCCCCAGAACCGATATATTTTACATCTCTATAACAGCTTTTTACCTATAACAACAACGGCCATATTTATAGCATAAAGCTCTTTGTAAAATTACCCCTCTATAACAGCCATATAGAATCTTTAAGATTACTAATAATAGCTTTAAAAATATGCACATAATCTTTTCCATTAAACATAGTTTCTATCTTGCATAAGATATAAGATTTGAAGATTTGCACATGATATCTTTTCCATTGGACAAAATCTGAAAATATATAGATAAAAAATTTGACTATTAAACTCTTAGATTGTCTTCAAGGGAAAGTTATTGGATATTTTTTTGCTGAAAATTTGGACACGAATCTTCGTCAATTCAAGTGTTATATCGTTAGTAAGAGAATAAATCTACAAAACAAGCTACAATTACAAAGTTCTTCCATCAATCTTTGAAAGAATTTATTTTTCTAGGTAGCTTTAAAATGTCTTCCTTAGAGTTTAAATCTTTATGCGTTTAGTCATGAATTTATTAATGTATTAGCTTTCTTCAATATTTAATTAGTGAAATATGCATATCTTTTGATAAATTTGAGTAGTTTTCTTATATTTATATATAACATTAAAAAAGGAAAAATAATTATTTTTTGGATAATTTTTATTTATAACAGCCAAAAAATATTTAAAAGTCAGATGTTGTTATAGGTGTATAACAACCATTCACTATAAAAGCCAAAAAAAATATATGAACAAATGAGGCTGTTATAGAGAAGATTGACTATCTATCTCTCTCTCTCNGAACATTGATATTGATTTGGTTTTGTTTTGAGCTTTATTTGAGTTACTAACAATTATGGGTTATAACATAGTGGACAATTCAAAAGGTTTAAGTCCATGCTTGAAATAATACGTTAAAAGAGAGTAATATAAAAAAATCTAAGAAATATTCATAAATTACATTACAATAAATATTTTTATGTATAAAATATTTTAAAACTTGTATACATATAATGCCGGGTTGATTTAATTTTAGTTAAACTTTTTTTGGTTAAAACCAAACCAATCAATTATGATCGGCTTCTTTTTTCCAACACCAAACTATAATTCGATTTGATACACTTTGTCGATTTTCCACCCTACTTGATATTTTGACGGCTTAGCAGCTGCCTAACTCATAGGGAACCTAACATCAACTTCACACTTATCTTTTGCCAAAGAGTTGGGGGTGGCGGGGGGGAGGAAGAGAGGCAAAAGGACAAACAGGAAGTAAGAGAGAGACAAAAGAGATTACCTAAAAACTAATGTAAAACAAAGAACGAGCCAACCTTCTGAGCTTAGGTGGACCATCTTCAACTACTATGACGCATATTATTTGATACATTATTATAAGCCAGATATGAACAAAGACAGGTTAGTTGTTTCCATGGATATTCTTCAGAGCTCCATGATCTACATACCAGCAACCATTCTCTCACTTATTTTTTGTGGGTTCATAGTTCATATTTTGACCAGAAAAATACTAGGGAAACATGGCAAAAAGAGATTATACCATCCAATTGGTGGCACCATTTTCAATCAGCTTCTCAACTTCCACAGGTTGCACCATTACATGACTGATCTTGCTGGCAAATACAGGACTTACAGATTGATTAGCCCTTTCAGGAATGAGATTTATACTGCTGATCCTGTTAATGTTGAGTACATTCTCAAAACAAACTTTGACAACTACGGCAGGGTATGTCATTTTCTTCAAATCCCAAATAGCTTTTTCTTTAAACCCCTTTATTTAGTAACTTATTCACTCATGACTAAACTCCATTGAAGTTGAGTAGAAGCATCAATAATGAAAGAAATGATGGACAAGTAGTGTTCTCTGCTTTTGAAAATATGAGCACAGTTTTTGTACATTAAAAAATTCAAAGTTTCTTATTCCATGTTTGGGACAGATCAACAGAGCTGGGCTGCAGTTTTAATCTGATAAATGAGAATTTTGTAAATCACTTTGCTTGATGTAAATCAGATCTGATTATTTTTTATCACAGCTGCTATAGTAGTACAAAATCTTGTGTAAATTCTAAGCAGCTGGAGTTGGAAATTAGAAATTAGTTGACTTTCCAATCTGGCTGAAAAGTCAATATATCTAGTTGCAGTTCATTGAATCTAATTTTCAGTATCTGCATAATGATTTTCAGTATCTGCATCATGCAACTGTAAATCTGCTATTGTTCTATCAATCGATCCGCTATGCCTCAATTTCTAAATTAGTTGCAGTCAGCTATGAATCTACCAGTCTACTGTAACAAATGATAGAATGATACTCGTGTTGCGACTTGAGTATTTTGTATAATCTACAGGGAAGGTATCATCACAGCATTTTAACGGACCTGTTAGGGGATGGGATATTCACAGTTGATGGTGATAAGTGGAGGGAACAGAGGAAATTGTCAAGCCACGAGTTCTCGACGAGGGTTTTGAGGGATTTCAGCAGTGTGATCTTCAGAAAAAATGTGGCAAAGCTTGCCCATATGTTGTCCGAAGCTGCCAATTCCAGCAAGATAGTTGATATCCAAGTATTTTGTTTCCATGACTAGACTTCATTGAACAACCCTTCTTTGTTTTGACCAGACGAGAAAACATATATTTTTTCATGAATGCAGGATCTATTCATGAAAGCAACTCTAGATTCTATATTCAGAGTTGCCTTTGGAGTTGAGCTAGACAGCATGTGTGGTTCAAACGATGAAGGCAGAGAATTTGGCGATGCATTTGACAATGCAAGTGAAATGACACTTTGGAGATATGTTGATATCTTCTGGAAGATTAAAAAAGCTCTCAATATCGGATCAGAAGCCAAGTTAAAGGACAATATAAGAACTATTGATGCGTTTGTTTATAAGCTGATCCACAGAAAAACCGAGCAGATGAGTAAACCAGAAGCTAATTTATCTGTAGGTGAATCACTTTTTAGCTTCTACTTTTATTAATGACGATAGATGTTTTCACATTATAATCATTTCCCAGTTGCAGTGGAAGAAAGAAGACATTTTGTCAAGGTTTCTGCAAATAACAGGAATAGATCCAAAGTTTCTGCGTGATATAATATTGAGCTTCATTATAGCAGGCAAAGATACAACAGCAACCACCCTTTCTTGGTTTATATATATGCTTTGCAAGTACCCTCAAGTACAGGAGAAAGTAGCACAAGAGATTAAAGAAGCAGTAACTGAGAAACAAGATGCAATGGACATAACGGATTTTGCTGCCAATGTGAGTGAAGATGCCCTTGAAAAGATGCAATATCTTCATGCAGCATTGACAGAGACTCTTAGGCTCTATCCTGCAGTTCCAGTGGTAATAAGGATCTTCTTGTATCATACAGAAGTCGCTAAGTAGATGTATGCTTTCAGATGTTAATTTTGTTTCTTGCGCTCACATTGTAGGATGCAAAACTAAGCTTTTCGGATGATACCTTACCAGATGGATTTAGTGTGAACAAAGGGGACATGGTGTCTTACCAACCATACGCGATGGGAAGAATGAGATTTATATGGGGTGATGATGCAGAAGAATATAAACCAGAGAGATGGCTTGATGGGAATGGTTTCTTCAGACAAGAGAGTCCCTTCAAATTTACAGCTTTCCAGGTTGGTTAAAGCTCCTTATCAGTTTTTAAAATCATTTGTCAAAGAATTGAACATGAATTGTCTATACATTACTGTGCTGGTAAAACAGGCCGGGCCAAGAATCTGTCTGGGCAAGGAGTTTGCTTACAGGCAAATGAAGATATTCTCTGCTGTGCTATTACGTTACTTTGCTTTCAAATTGAGTGATGACAAGAAGACTGTCAACTACAGGACAATGATTAATCTTCACATCGACGGCGGACTGCACGTACATTTCTTTCATAGATAGGGCCAATAAAGAGAGCCATAGATATTTTAGATCTCCTCACTGAGTTCTGTATACTAGAGACTATCCAAAATAAGCCTACCAAATAACATCGACCAGACTGAAGATTTAGGCCTGAACTCTAAGAAAGGTATCATTGCTTCACATTCACATTTTCCTTGTTTTAAGTCAGTTTGAGTTTTTCATTGGAATAACCACTGCCCCCCTTGCCCGACCTCAGGTCAGGAGAAAATTGTAGCAAAATTCAATTCTATTCTCTATCTTCAAAGACTGAAACGCGGCTAGAAGTTGCATCGACTTTAACTCCTCATCGCTGTACACTGTTCACTGTTCACGAGTAATAAACAGGCATCTGAAAAAGTACAGTTAGAAGTAAAACTAACAAATTTCCTATGAAAAAACTTCTATTAGTCATTTTGCCCTAAAGTTGTGGGCACTACACTTGCATCTTTAACCTACTTCTCGGTCCCAATGACCAGCAGGATTCAGTATAGCAACTAAGGTTCGTAGGGAAATTATATATACATATACATTTACACACAACTGTGTGACACGTGTGTCTCAACTACATCTCAATACCAAAATAAGAAAAGAATTGTAAGGCAAAAATAATGACGAACAGAGAGAAGTAGCTAAATAAACATGTAAAAAAGCACATCTTACAAGAGAACATTTACAAGGGAGTATCTTGACTGTGATTCCATGACACTGAAGTCCCAATACAGTGATTGAGGACGGGGAAGAAAAGATCAAATGGCTAAATTTCCTATACTCTAACATCAAACAATTGGACAGCATGTACAACTATATCGATCAAAACAATAAAAATAAAAATGCTGAACCCAGTAAAAAAACTACTGGACAGCCCTGTGGTATACCTATTACAGTACACTCATGTTACATGTCAATGTAAAACGTTATCCTCGTTGCACAGTGACTATGATACAGTCAAGAGAAGGAGCCGCTGCGTGTCAGTTATGCATCCAAAATTTTAGTATTTGATGCATAGCACTTTTCATCTTGTAAGATATGAATGGGATTTTTACCAGGAGAAACTTTGGTTAACCCTTGGTGAATCAAAGTCCAATTTCCTGAAACTTTCACTTTATAAGAGGGCTGAGTCCATCACCTTCCCAACCCAGCTTAAGCATTTGATCCACTACCTTCAAGCTCAACTGCATATGATATGGATATGGATAGAAAGTCAACTAAGATGTTTATAAGCTATAACCCTCCCCTCTCACCATTCTCCACACTTAAATACAGGGCTCGGTCCACAAATTAGGTTCAAACTCGTGATATGCACATACCACACATCTTGCCTTGTTTGCCATTGACTAAAGCCCGGGGAAATCAGGATAAACTCTTAATTTAGAAGAATGACATTAACAGTGAATTTTCAAAAGAAATCCATTTTGATATTCATAAAATTTATTAATCACTAATTTCCACAGTGATGTTTGCACAGTCTAGCACAAAATGACATAAGTGAAGCTAGGAGCTAATTCGTCGTAGATAACTAAGTTCCAACTGTATAAGCCTAATTGCCTAAAGCTTCTTTTTGCAGTTATAGGAACAAACTCCATTTAAATTTAAGTGTCAAACTTACTATTGTGGTTGTGCAACAAGGAATCTCTAACTAAAGTGGGAAGCGCTTCTCACCATGGAACTCATGCCAACAGGGCCTTTGCAGTCATTTTCCAGTATTTAATACAGTAAATTTTCTTCTACCTTATAAGAGAATGGAATTTGGTTGTTTCTTTTGTTCGTTTCTCTCTTCTTCTTCCTTTTTTGTGGGGCTGGCCAGGTGGCCGTAGGGAAGAGAAGGAATTTTATGAAAGAGTTAAGAGTGTGGCACAGACAAGTGAGGATATGGTAGATTAGAATTCACCTTTTATAATGTATTGTTTAATGGTTATAGCACTCACATCTTTCTCATTAATAGAAACATTCAAACACGGAAATGCTATTCCAGAGAGAACTTTTAACATAATTATCTAATTAAGAGATATTTCAGGGCCCAAGGGTATCCACAAAAATGCAAGTTGACAAGAAATTAAGGTGTGTGGGGGCATAAAGAGCGAACAAAAATGCACTAGCCTTCAATGAAAAGTTGTAACATATGCTTCTTTCGATCACTAGATGCTAAACATGGCGTTTATAGATATTAGCATTTCATATATCTAGTCACTTGGAGATATTTTATGAAAGGAAGAAGATAGGGATGGAAACCAAAAGATAGAACCCAAAAATTAGCATTAGCAAAAAACTCTCAACGTTTTTTTGATAAGGAGCAAAAACCTCTTAACATAAAAAAAGAGTATTCAACTTACGGCGGGATCTGTGAAGATTATCAACTGCTTATCAGCTGTCGATAGCAAGAGATTAGTATTATCCTTGTTCAGAGCCAGAGCCGTAATATCTTGACCCTCTCCAAGCTTCATAATGTGAAAAACCTGCAAGTCAAAACATCAGCTTCTGCTTCATACACACAAGCGAAACAAGGTGAGAAATGAGCGTACTTCCTATCATCAAGCAACTAAGAAAATTGAATTTCAAGTTGCATGGGTTAAAAGGTGCTAAGAAGCAGCATAGACAACCCAGACTTGGCAAAGCAGCAAACAAACTAGATGGTCTGCCTTACAGTTCCTCACTCAGTGATGCCAATTTTGACGTGGACAGGAAAAGAGAAAAAAAATAAGGTCCAAAAGAAGTCTTAACTCTACCTTTAAAGTATACATGTCAACGAAGCAGATCGAAGGCACAGAGATATCTAATATATTTCCTTTGCCATTTTCATCTGATTCGACATCAGAATCCCCAGGTCCTGGCTTTTGCCACTTCATAGACTTATTGTCTGACGGTCCATCATTTTCAGCAGATGGATTTACTCCAAGCAATGCATTTTGTCCATCAACAGAAACCTCCATGCAACTAATGGTGGAATAGAGAGGAAACTGTATTCTTGCAATAAGAATTCCATTAAGAGTAAAGGTGCTTAGTGTTTTATATGATTTATTCCAAGCCATTATAATTCCATCAGATGACAGACAGACAGAATGTGCCTCCATTCCAACCAGCCTTCTGACCAATCGACCCCTTCTTATAGTATGTAGCAAGACATCTGACGAGCTGGAGCATGAAACCACGATCCCAAGATCTGAACTCACACAGCAGCATAATATTTCCCCAAGATGGCCCCTAAGGACATGTATGGGACCCTCAATTCGATGCCTCTTACTTTTCTCTCTCAAGCTGTTTGGTGTAGTACTACTGGTTGAAGGTGTGCTTGAACCAGTGGAAGCCTCTGCCGTGCTGCCGATGCGCGGCATTGATGCCCTATTTATTCTCCAGAGAAGCACTGTTGCATCTTTAGATCCTGTAACAAGATAATTGCTATCTGGAGATAAAGCCAGGCATGTCACGGGGGCACAATGTCCTCTGGCTACTTCTAAAGTTTTTGCCCCATCTGATGATATCAGCCGCACACTGTTGTCTACATGGCCACCTAGATACAAGTCCAGGAACTTCTATTAGTCAGTATGTTTAGGATTCAGCAACAACATAAAGCATGCAATGCTAATCTCGCTTCATTGAAAGGTCTTGCATTCAATCACTTTTTTTTTCCGCCCAACTAAGGAATCCACTGGCACTCTCTCAAAATTGAATCAGAGGAAATGAAGTAAGGGGTTTCTGCCCTCTAGTAGATAATTTGAGATGAATGAAGAAAATTACAAAATGAGCACTAGTATATAAACCNATACTTTCACAACGACAATTCGATAACTAAAATTTTTTGAGATTTAAATAAATAGAATATATATACTGCTTGCCTGTAAGAATTTCTTTGTCACAGGTAATTGCAACTATGGATGAGCCTCTTATTCCAGAAGCTGCAAATGCTAGGGCTTGAGGGAAATGCCATTCCTCTGATTCAGAGCCAGTCGGCCCCTTGAACATACGCATGAATGTTCCACCAGCGGAGCTAGCACCAGGTTTTCCGTGTTGAAAGAGGAAAGGTGTTCCCTGGCCATCTGGTGTGTTTGGTTGCCATTTATGCTGAGCTACATGAGCAGCTGGAGCATTCATATCAACAATTACAAGTGAATCAGAAGATGCCTGCATTGCTGCAGCAGGTAGGTTACAGCGCTCTGGGTGGGGAACCATATACGGTTTAGCATCTTTAGGATTCCGGAAGATGGTCTGTCAAAATTAAATGAGAAAGTCCCAAGGTTAAATTTGATTCCACCTATTATGATAATATAATACTTAGTAACTGAAAATGAGCTGCACCATCCGCTCAAAACTGAATCATAAATTGTCTTAGAAACAAGATACACTCAGACCTCCACGCAGAAAGGAACATCCAGGCTTAACAAACAAATTCTCTAGATTCATACGACGAACTTGCTCAAAAGAATAGGATACAGCAACACAAACAAAAAATAAATCGGGGTCTCCAAAGAAGGGCCCAAGGGAAAAGTGAGACTTGAAAGTTTGACAAAGTACAATACAGAGGCTCAGAATTGGCAATACAGTGCCACATAAGCAAATAAGACATTGGTGATCTTCTGCCACCAAGGTGAAAGGGTAAATCGACTCATAAATCAGGCAGAAAATGACAAAGAAATCATTGTGTTCTACAACCGACCCGTTGAGTTCCTTTTCTTTTCCTAAAGGGGTGAAATTAACATCAACCTACAACAATTAAATATTTCACCCCTCTATATGAGCAAAAGACAGACAGTTCTAGGCTTACACTTCCCTGATCTAAATTAATCAAAAAGAAAATTACTACTGCTCACTTTAGCCAATTTCAATTTTACTTGTATATATTTTTTGATGAAGTAAGTTGAATAATACAAATAAAGGCATCAAGAAGATGCAAGGTTACAGAACAGAGGAAGATATCAGCTCAAATGTACAAAAAAAGAACTATCAAAGAACCAATTTTACTCATATATATGTTACACTTGACTTTGAAAACCTTAAAAAGGGAGAACCTATGTATGCAATGAACTTACCTGTAGCTGGAGAACATCTGCCAGTGGCATCCTTTTCATGTGTGGGACAGTAAGAAGTTGAGATGGAGTTTGACCAAAGTACGCAATCTGATCTTGCATAGCACGCTGCTGGACCTTTTGACAAGATTTAAGATATAAAAGTTACTAGTATTCAAGTTATGTGGGATAATTAAAGCAAAAAGAACAGGAAGTGAAGCATACTGGATCAGTTATCTTGTCAATATCCACTGTTCCTTCATACGTCAAGTAAAAGAAAACATTATTTGCCTGTATAGCTTCTTTTC